AAGTTTACCACATCACAAAAGGATGGTAGATCGAATGGCTATTTGAAGGCAGTTGGCACGATGGTTTCCTACTTAGCCTAAAATGCTAGTAGGGCGCTGTATAGTGGGGAAATGGCGAAAGAACGGAGTGAAACGGTCAAAATCCTGCGAAGAAAAAGCCTCCGTTCTCAATCACTTGAAAATTGGTTTGGACGAGTTTGAGCATCTTGCCAATCACCGCTACTGAAGATACGGCTGCATATATGTGTACCCATATATGCATGCAGCATCACGGCCGCTTCATACCAATCCCTTCGCTTCATAATTTGCTTAGCAAATGAATGAATACGAGCGTCAGGAACGGTCGTCCATTTGTGGGCGGGCGGGCGTTTGGGACGTAAAGTTGTGGCTTGATAGGGCCCTTATAAGGGCACCTTCCTCGGGGAAACCGCTATGCAGCGCCTGCCCAGGGTCGCGGAATTCTATCCTGCCAGGAGTATTGATCCTAGTCGTCTTGGGGATTTATCGTGCCAACTGCCTTTAAAGTGGGATGTATGCCATTCAATGCGCCTCTGGAAGCTGATTACGAATCTGCCTTCCATATCTGCTAAAAGCTTCTCTGAGCAGATTTATACAGGTTTATTGACCTGGTCATATCGTATGCGCAACATGTTGGGGGGTAGAGCAACCACCCCCCCCCCCCTCCCCTCCCCCACCAAATCCGCTCACGTATGAAATTCTAAGTGGTGTGGGTAGCCGCAGCTTTTGCCCTGTTTTTTCTGGTCAGTGCAGGAGGCGGGCTACAGTTCGACTACGAGGGCGATATATTACACTGTTTTCTGGGGTATAAGGCGCACCCATGTGTGGTGCACACCTCAAGCGAAGCTTTTCTGGCTTCCCGTCTTTTGACATTTTTGTGTGTTCTTGTATTTATAAAAGAACTACCTGTATCTAATAAAGTTGTCTGATAGCCAATCTAAAATATGCAAAAATGTTGAGAAAGCTTTCAATGGGTTTCACTCATATTCAACGCAGGTTGTTGCTTGCTAATGTGCGATCTTGCGGCTTGTACCCCAGGACAGTCGTACTTGAAATTTCCTAGCTTCTACTGCCAGTGCATTCGTGGTGTAAGGGGGTAATCATGGATGTAAAACGGTTATTTAACACGAATCGATAGAGCTGTTGAAAAGATGTCATTTCAATATGAGGAAAAACTGCGCTCATGCAATGGCATGGTCAGATGTCAGTTTCTATTCGTCCATGCTGGATGCTTTCTGTCAGTTTTCCTCGCGCTACCCCCCACTTTGAATATTCGCAAAAATTGTCAGTGAAGGTGTTGATCATTTGATAGTTTGATTCGTGTGTTACATAATTGGAGATTCGTTTGTTTTGTTTGGGTGTTAAATTCAATGCAAACGATGTCACTTCGAATTAGAAGGTTTCGCGTTAAGTGATTGCCTAGGCGTCGTCTTAGTGCAGTGTTGAACATACACACACATTTGGAAAACAAAAGGCAAGGCAGTACGGGGAACTGTGCTGGTGTTTGGTGACGAGCGTACGGTAGTTTCACTTTCATTTTCGCTACGCCGATTACAGTAGCCGCGCTCGATCGCCACACTCCTTTGCAGATTGTCGTTCACCATTTCCAGCTTCGCTCTCAGAACTGCTCATTTTTCTCCGACTCACACTTATCACAGCCGTGAGCCTGAACCGTTCCCTATGGGGGACCACCTAGCCACCAGCCATTCCATCGCATTTCTTTCTCTCCTGGTCCTATTACTAAAATAGTTGGTTTTGCCTCAAAAACGTAGCTTCATTGTAGCCTGATGGCACTGTCATGCCAGTGCAGGTCCTTCGCTGGGAAATCCCCAGTGGGGAGAATCGTATTTAGTCGCTAGAGTCTTATTTACCTCGAGAGAGATTCAACGCCTTGCGAAGAAATTTTTTTTGCGGTTTTTGACTTCTCGGTTTTTCCCGTGCTATAGACTCCCTCCCTTTCCTCGACGGGGAAATTTTGGAGACAACGCATATTTTCATTGGGGATTCGTCAACTGGGGGTCGTATCTGGTCATTGGAGGAGGGGGGGGGTCGTATATGGTCTAAGAAACATTGATCGTTGATTTTTCTTGTTTCAGAGACGCTATAAAGGGAGGGTGGTGGTAATTGCTCATTGTTGGGAGGAAGGGGGTCATGTTTGCCTCCTTGCCCTCTAAGAGAGGTTATTGGCCTCTCATCTTTTTTCATGTTCAAAAAATTTGCAGTTTTTCAAAAAACCCCCTTCGAGCACTGTATACCCCCGCTCGACAGAAAATTTTGGAAAATCTAAAAAGTTGGAGAATTTTCGGGAAATTTCCGGAAAAACTGGAAGTTGGGGAAATCTAAGGAAAGTGATAGATAGGGTGGGGACTTGAGGGAGGTTTCGGCAACTCGATGTGGGAGGGGAGTAGGGGGGGGGGCGTACGGACTTGATCCAGATCGCGAACAAATGATATGTCCTGCTCTAAGGACTAATTTTGAAAAACTAAAATTTTTGGGGTGTGTAGGAGAAATCGGCAAGATAGTAGAGAGGATGGAGGGAGAGGGGGGTCGTACTCCCCGAAAATCCTTCCCAGCAGCAGAACGTGCCCTGCGTCATATAAGCATATTTCCGATGGAGGATGTAGTCGTTAGTGCTTTCCGTCACGGTCATCGGCATTCGTCCGCATTATTCCTGCACGATAAACGATCTCGTCAGAATTTATGACGCATTCATGAAAATGCATGCGAGTCGGTTCGTTTGAGGAATTTTTTGACAGGCCTTGGGAATACGCATCAATTCCGAAATGCTTTGATATGACAGGCCCTGGGAACACGCATCATTTCCGAAATGCTCTGATTTGCACGTTCAGGGACAGTTTGTCTTTGCGACGTCCTCATTTGGAAAATGGCCTCTGCGATCTTTTGAGACCTGTTCCAGTAACGCTTGTTATCCAAGCGTGCCTTGCAGGTGCCCAGGGGTGGTCTCAGAATGTTCCCATAGAGAGTGTGAGACGATTTCGGCGATTAGAAAGTGCAAAACGGATTTTGCATGTCGATCGCAACGTTCATATCTCCTCTTACAGCAGAGCTATGCTTGTCATTCCGTCTGCTGACCTTGCAGTAGTGCTGGCCGGCGATTTCTCCTTTGTAGCATTTCTCGCGTTCTCTCTTGAAAGGAAGCGCCTACGATTGCAAACTACATGTTTTCGCGACTGATGCGGCCTTGCTTTCAGGGACTGCTCTCTTTTTACCACCGTCTGTTGGATTAAGTAGCTTTGTTTTCAGCTATATTGATTCGCCTTCTCCTGCTGTCCGATATTCTGAAATCTGCTGTTTTTGCTTGCTTGGAAGATGTAAAGTTCTAAAAAAAGTTCTATCCTGCTCAAGTGTGTACAATGCACCAGAACGAGAGCTCCAAACGTACTCAAAGAGCAATTCCAACAATTGTAATTTGTAGACCTTAAGGGTCTAATTATGAGTTTATAGATGTCGGGTGACTAACCAGCAATGAAAGAATGGTCAGTGCCACAAAAGACGCCAAGAAATTAGGCCCTGGAGTTGGACGGTGTTTCGAAATGCGAAGTATTGCTGTTGGGACGAGGGACCATAGGCAGAACAGAGATCAAGGAATCGAGCCGGAAGATGGGCATGGACCAAATCGGTCGTACATGGAATAAATGCAACATGTTGCACTCGTCCGGATATGGGACTACTGGCATATCTTGTCCACAGATGGGCGGGGCAACTTCGGCGGGTGGTCTTTTCGGCTGATCCCAGTCGTGGTGCTAGCATCATCCAAAATGAGCAATGCCAGCAGTTCTTACGTTCGAAATCCCCTGAGGGAGTTCGTATTTGGTACGGTCGTATTTGCCTTCAAGAAAAATTTCCCCAGCCGCGAGAAACAATTGACGGCAACTATTATGGAGAAGAAGTGGGAAAACTTCTGAAATCGGGGAAAAAGGGTTGCTGTAAATTGGAATGTTTTAAAAACGGTTGGAAGATGGTAGGTAGGGGGGATTATTTGGAAAAATCTTTTTTCCTAGAGGCAGAACGTGCCCTTTTTGGACTAACCTCCAAGATTGCCCATCGGTCTACTTGTACAAGATAGGAATTCTGCGTGTAGGATGATCGCATAATGTGCCTTCAAATATATCTGCAGTAATTCCATTTTTACCTCATTCCTTGCCTCCGTCTAAGGAACGTTGCTCCCATCGAAAATTGACCATAAAAAGCACGTAATTTTGGAAGGGAAAGATATGCCATCGTTTATTGCTTATTTAATGAGCTTTCTGGACAAATAAACTTATCAAGCAAATTCGGAGGTATCGCTTGCGAAAGGCCATCTCGCAGGCCATCCCGATTCTTTACATCAGTCGTCTCATTGTATGTTTACTGGTTGGCTTATCTTGTACAAGGCGAGGTGATCGTCAGGATAGGTGGCGGAACACGTGTCGTCTTGCAAGACTGCAAGTCTCCTTCGCGGCTGCTCGTTATTCCGCATGAGATATTTGCCTGCACATGTCTCGCAGAGTGTCACAGCTGCTGATGTTGCTCACATTCCAGCATGCTTACTTCCGTTACCCGAAGAGTTTCATACAGCGTGACCTTTGCGAGATTTTCTATTTGGATGCGTGCCATTCTATCATTTTCTCTAAAAGTGTAATATCTTCTTTTGCACGAGCACTCTCAATATCAGTTGCTTTCCTCACAGTTGCTTTCGTCGATTTACGTGATGATGTCATTCTCTGCTGCTCACAATCGTAGGAGGTTGTCATCAAAAGTGCATGCTTTCCTAGCATTGTCCTTTTCATTAGTTCACCGAAATTTTTTTCCGGTCCTGTTGATTTCGCTCTTGTTTGTGTGACATGTAACGTTGCCTTTCTCCGCCCAATACAACACACTCATAGAGCAGACTCTTTCCAGACTGCAGACGAGTTGCCTTTGTGCAGCCCTGTCGTGACAAGACCAAGCTCCCAACAACATCTGTATCACTGGATACGTCGATGGAAACATCTTCGATTGCAACTGCTCTCCAGTATGACACACTAAACGTTGCGACAGTAGATTCGCAACGTAAGAAGTTGGAGCTCAAGCTCATCACAGGAAACGAACAGCTGTGCACGGTGAGTGGAAATTTCCTATTCAGGGCAGTTCGACGACGGGAGGGGGAGGCATTATGCACTTTTGCCACAACTCATGGACGTGCCGACCTATCTAGTGTGCCATTCCATCAGCTTACAAGGTTTCATCATGGCGGCTCGACGAGCTTGCTCCAGCTTCACAAGAGTTCACAGGTTTCACCAGAGTGAGACTTGTAAACCGGAACTAGTGAAGCGAAAGTGCAAAATGCCCCCCCCCCCCCCCCCTTCGACGAGCCCTCCCTTCTAGCCTTCGCTAAAAAAACCGCTTCTCGTCTGCGCTTAATGTTATCGCCTTAATCATCTTGCGACACGGATCCTTGCGGCACCCGGGAGGAGGTCCTTCTGCTCACTCCCACGACTTTTCGGAGCAGTTTAAAAAGGAAGAATACCTAGACTGGCCAAAAGCAGTCTGATTTCAGGATTACCAGTCAAGCTGACTCGTTAGTTAGGGATCCTGACGCCCTTTCCAAGTCCCTTTTAAACATAGTCTGCCACGAAGCTCACCGTAGACCAAGTACCACGCCATCGTCTCTCCAGTAGTGCAACTCTGCTCGTTCCCCTTTTCGCGGGTTTTAAGGAAGCCGTGCTGAACGGTGACATGGCGCGTTATATAGCCCGCATTCATAGAGTACTTGATCCATTTCAGCTTGGCTTGAATAAGATTGTCTATTTGTTGTTTTTCAGTACGATAACGATCACACTATCACCGTGCTACAGTAATCCTACAGACAGTGAGCCGCCGTCACCGGACTCGGGTTTCTCGTCCGATGAGAATGTATCGCCACTCTCACGCAGGTACGTTGAGTTGAGCTATGCATCTTTTATAAGTTGCTCAGAAAAAACATTAATTTAGTCACAAAACTCAGGTCCATAAGCAGGGTGCGAAAGAGGGCGACTCGCGAAAGCTCCGGTATGTTCATTTAGAGGATGATGGGGTTCGGTTTGAGGGAGGAGGGAAGACGAGGCATTTAAGCAGAGAACCTGAAAAGCATGAATCCACGGTCTCAAGACCCTGCACTTTTTAGCCACAAGTTCTACTTCGCAGTAGGCAACCTCCCATAGGAGAAGCTCGAGTAGATCGAAACCGTAGTTTGATAACCTGCTAGGTGAGGCTCAAGAAAAAAATGCGGCATATTGGAGCATGAATGCTCTATCCGTCCCTTTTTTCCAGATAAAAAATAATGGTAAGGTACTTCGCGCGACGAGAGGACGGGGGGGCGGGGAGCAGTTTGTACTCTCGCTTCGCTTTTCCCTAGTTCTGGTTTACAGGTCCAGAGAAACAGCGCGAGTGCAAACTGTGATGAAGCCCGTCGACTTGTGAAGCTGGAGCAAGCTGTCAAGCATCCATGGCAAAACCTGTCAACTCTTGTAAGCTCACGAAATGGCTCCTTAAGTGGGTCGACGCGTCCATTTAAAGTGCAAAATGTCCCCTCCCTCGTCACTGAACTCCCAAATGGTAGCATGACGGACTTTCTGATCGATGTCATACTGTATAGTTTGATACTAGTAACCTTGGGAAGGGGGGGGGGTAGGCGACATCTAAGGGATTCCTAGTGTAAAACTGAGATTGACATCATCCGAGCGGAATCGTCGTCCTTGAAGTTGGTTCACCAACCAGGCAGCTCCGCGGTCTTTTGGATTAGGTGAGAGTCCTCATCTTTATTACGGTAATTTCAATTTTGACCGGTGTCGTTTGAATGCACCCACTCCCAGGTTATTAGCCCCTATAGTTTCGATATGGCTACAGTAGGCGATCAGTAGACGAACTCATACCAAAATTCCGTACATTCTTAGGTACTCTTATTGCTTGGGCCCTCCCCCCGCCCCCCGAACACTCCAAGAACGATGAGTGAAGATTAGCGAAGGGCCTGGAGTCATCTTCAGTCTACCTTTTCACCGAGAGCACGCGCTCAGCAGAAATGAAACGAGTTGTTTGATCAGTTTAATAAGCGATGGCCATGAACTGCAACGACGCTCTGGGTCTATTCACGTCGTGGCGCCGTCGTAGATCGCGCCTGCGTGAGAAAGATCCAGTTCTTGTCTGCTGGAAATTGATGATTATTAATTGTTTGTTTACCACGCTACTATTCAATGCGTACTTGGGCCATTTATCTCCCCCTTTCAGCAGTCGTATTTGTTTTGAGGAATTGGCAGTTACCCAGTCTAGTTACGCATTGGTTTTCAGGGTTATGTTGGTCGACGCAGAACTGGCTAAAATGGAGTTCTAATAATCCTAAGGGCGTGCAGAAAATGGGAAATAACGTGGGCCGTGCTTTTCATCTAGGAGTTAATTGACCTCTAGGACATTCAGTGAGATTTCGTGGGAGGTCTGCTTTCTTGTGGAAAAGTTCAGAGAGCACAAAGTATCACATGATTTATTGCCAGGGGTTCACATCGTTTAGTACTTGTTGATGTTGAAGTGAACAGAGATAGAGCTTGCAAGAATCACTTATCACGTCGACAGTAGTCCATAAAAAGATGTTTTCCCCTTGCAAAGTGCATCGGGCTCCGTGCGAAAGACTAAGAATTCCGGTGTGTTGTTCAGCAAATGTTAGCAGACTACGGTGGTGCCGGGAACATATCTCAAGACGACAATATAGAAGCAATTGCGATTTACGACTTGCACCCACCACTTACGACCCCACTTCCTTGTTTTTATGCAAGATGGTATAAAAAATGACGTTTCGTAGTTCGATAGGGCGAGGGTCGTCACCCAAGCATAAGGGATCAGCTCTACAATGTAAGGCGACGAGGCCTATGGTAGATCCATGGTAGTATGGGGTATGTGCCAACACAAGCGTGATATGCCGCTCTTGTAGGCGTGGCGAGCGGCATCGCTCCTCACGGACGAGTTATCTTGCCCAGCCATTAGAATTCGAGGGTTGAAGGGTACGATACGGTTTGTCATGGATCGTCGCTTGTTTCCGATTGGGCTCATACGCGTTTCGCTCCGATTAACAAGCTAATACACATCGAGAACCTGCCGCGGTACACCACGGGCAATGGCACGACAAACTACGATTGTCTTGTCCGTCCGCCGATGAAATGTACCGAAGAAGTTCCCCTGTCAAAGAGAACAAGCTCCACTCCGCTGAGAGGACCACACAGGAGATACTATTCGTCACCGATCCTGAGCTCAGTGGAGCTCAGCGATGCATTTGGCCCGAAACAACTGTGCTATTTTAACGATTTAGTAACTGGTATGAAGATTCCAGAGTGTCGCTGTATTGATGGAAGGCACCAGCTGTCCATTTGCTTGGACAACGTCCCTATGACTGATGATTTGTTTTTACATGACTTGTCTCCTACAGGCCAAGTTGAACGCAAGCACTTGTCACTGTTTTCCGCTTGTACTGGGCTTGTTGGTTCATCGGCATACAGGAGACAGGGTTGAGAACAGTGTCCCACGTGTATGTCCAGAGTCTCCATTTACCCCGTCACTTCAGGCCGAAAGGAAAATATGTGCCGAAGAGGATGGCAGAAGCCAACGGTTACCCTCTGTTGCGGTTCTAACAGTTCAGCCCTCCCCCCCCTACCCCACCTCCCAGATCATAAAGTGTGGCGTTAGTTTGATCTCAGAATCGCCAAGGCTCTGTCCTAGAGAACTAGAGCTAAATCCAACAGTAACGATGTCATAATGTCGAATCAGTATTGTAATAGCCTGTGTTAGAGGCTCAGTGAAATTTTAACTTTGTGACTCCTTCTCTCTTATGCTTAGGCGACAGTTCTCACCCTACCAGAAATCGAAACCGAAGGCATACTTCGTAAATGTGTAGCACTCAGGCCTGAAAAAGCTGCGTCTGGCGCACACTCTATGGGTACGAAGCTGCTGTTCCCAGTCGCGGCATCGCAGTACGAGTTGACATGGGAGATGAAGTCGACGCGCAGCGACGATCCACGTTGAGTAGGTTGGGTCCTGGCACGGACGCAGCGTACGTCACCATGCTAAACTGCCTATTTCGCCGGTAACGGGAGAAGTAACGCTTCGCAGCCCTCACCCTCCATCCAAGTGGTATAATGGGCAACGTAAAACCTTATGCACACAAAAAAAGCTTGACTTTCACGAAGTCTTCACCTGATTTAGGCAGAGGTTCCATTTTTCAGGGACACAAGGAGCCATACATTACCGTCGGCCCTACGTCGTTCCCGATCAAAGGCTTGTGCAAAGCGTGTACGCTTCGCCGATGCTCTTGGTCTAGACTTGGAAAAGCGTCAGTACTTCACAGAAAAGGACCCAGATCTGTAAGTTACTTTGCAGACTGTTAGTACTCCTTTCTTTTTTTGTAGTATATCAGCGCAGTAGCACCCTTCGTCTTCTTTCCAGGGAACACTTCAGCGGAAAATGGTACTTTCAGTTTTCTCACACCACCATCTTCTCCAACACCTGGACGTCGCCTAGTGCTGTCCAACTTCGTTTATCGTTCTGAATCCGAATACAACCAGCGAGCCCGTGACCAAATGGTCTGTTTGGCTAAACTACGTGTTCATGGTCACACTATTAATGGCCAGGTTAACGTCGCCAACATCGCTTTTTGTAAGGAGGTGAGAAGCCCTTTCGTAGTCGTTTCTGGAACGGCGGGTTACATAGTGGTATTCCAGGTTGCGATTCGTTACACGACTAGCAATTGGGCCACTCACGATGAAGTCGCCGCAACTTACGGACATACCGTCTTCGGCGCTGACAACGTTGATGCCTTCGTATTCTCGCTGATGCTTCCCGCAGATGTAAAGGTTCGTAGACTTTTTGCTATTTATCTAGGTCTTACCTTCTGCCCTGCTGATACTATTTACGTTTGGTTGGGACTGGGAAGAAAACAGCAGCCGTGTGCGGGGAGAGATGTTTGGATCATGAGGACTTTTCACCTTAAGGTTGTGGTATTGCCGGAGTTGTCGTCAAGGAGGCACTTTTCGAAGCATTTTTGAGTTGAGGTTCTCCAAAAAGGTGGGTTGGGCTAGCTCGCTCAGTCATCCAGCTGAACACAGTATAGAGATACGACAGCACTATGCCTTATACGGATCCGAATATTGTTATACTCCTAATTAAGATCAATTGGGGGAAGTCCCAGAGCTCTGTGAGAACAATATGCGAGAATCGATCTTTTCTAGAAAACAGTTTTACCTCGCGAGGATAAGAAACCAGACCTTAAAGGCAGTTGGCACGATGATTCGGTGCTCGGCCTAAAATGCTAGTAGGGCGCTATATAGTGGGGAAATGGCGAAAGAACGGAGTGAAACGGTCAAAATCCTGCGAAGAAAAAGCCTCCGTTCTCAGTGTGTTAGAAATCGATTTCGGACGAGTTTCCTGTAGGCATCTTGCCAATAACCGCTACCGAAGGTACGGCTGCATATGTGTACTCATATATCCATGCAGCATCACGGCCGCTTCATACCAATCCCTTCGCTTCATAATTTGCTTAGCAAATGAATCGATTAGAGCGTCAGGAACGGTCGTCCATTTGTGGGCGGGCGGGCGTGGTGGGCGTTGTCGGTATGTTGTGGTGATAGGGCCCTTATAAGGGCACCTTCCCTTGGAAAAGGCATTATGCAGCGCCTGCTCAGGGTCGCGGAATTCCGTCCTGCCAGGCGTATTAATCCTATCATCTTGGGGGATTTATCGTGCCAACTGCCTTCAATCAAAGGGACGGTCCGCGATGACCTATAAAAAATGCTAAAGATTGTGTGCGAGGGGTACTGTGGCTTGCAGTGGACAACCTTGTGCCATTCTTACCCTGGGAAGTTGTAAAAAAAGGAGTTGAGCCGCAAATTTGCTCCAGTGGCACTTCCCTTTTTCCAGTGACTCCGCCTCTAGACCCCGCCTTCAAAGTCTGCCTTCCATTCAAAACCGATGCTACCGGGTAGGTAGCATAAAGCGAATGCTCGCTCTGCTGTCTTGTATTTCAGTCATAGGGTTCATTGCGAAGAATCATCCAACTGGACCTGCCCAAACACGCGGTCTTTTGGCCTTTTAGCGGCACAATTTTTCGAAGCTAGAGGGTCCCTACTGAAGGCGTTGCCGACGTTCCTCATGACATTTTCTCTTCACAGACGAGTCCTTGCTTATTTCAACATCACCATCTACGCTCCCTGTCGCGAACCGTGCCTTTAAGATCGTCTACATATTTGACGCAGCAACAGTTGGCTAACCTTTTTGGGTACCAAAGGCACGGTGCGCGATTGAAAGTCTAAGTGATTTTGCAGAAATGTGGAAGAAAATTCGCCAAGTGAACCGTCTATGAAGAGAAAATGCCAAAGGGAACGTTGGAAACGCATTCGTCAGGCCTCCTCTAGCCTCAAACAACTGTAGAGGTAAAAGACCGAAAAGACCGCGCGCTGGGACAATTCCCGTCGGCTGATTCCCAGTAATGAACCCTATGACTCTACAAGAGACATTGAATGCATCCACTCCATGATACTTGCCCGGGAGCATTACTTTTGGCTGGAAGGCCGACTTTGGAGGCGGAGTCTGGAGGCGGAGTCACTGGAAAAAGGGATGTACCACTGAAGCAACTTTGCGCCTTAATCCCTTTACCGTACAACTTTCCGCCGCGAAACTGGCACAGGGTTGTCCGCACTACCTTCCCACATAACCTCTTACATTTTCATAGGTCATCGCGAACCGCTCCTTTAAAAATTTGCAGACAAAAGTGGTGACTCCGTGGACTGTTGTGAGCTCGGGAAGCGGCCCTTTCGGCTCAGTGTGTTAACCGTTCGAATTTCACAACAAAGTTCCCGAAGCAACTTGTAATACTGTATGAATTGTTTCAGGAAGGACAGTGCCAGTTCTGCGTACGTTTCACTGTGGACGGACGTGAGTTTTGGGATAACAACTCTGCCAACAACTACTGTGTGGACATTGTTCCGGATGCGTCACTGCCGCCATCATCGTATGAACGCAGTCCAGTACCTACAATAACTCCAGTAGCACCAGTTACATCCTTTTTCACACCTCGTCGTCTACGTCGTTGGGGTAGAGCCCAAGAGGAATCGGACGACGAGAGCTCACGTGTGTACATCCCTCGCCGTAGAATTGTGCTTTAGATGCTCAGGTGGTGGAGTGGATATACTAAGTGTGCTGTGTAATTGTGCTTGGTTGTAGACAGGCATCCCTAAAAAGGTGACTGTCATGCGGGTAGTTATCGCTGTCTCCCCCCATTCGCTCACACTGCGTGTGTGCCTCAGTTTGGAAATCGTCATTGTGCCTCGATAGAAGTGTATTTATGCCCTAACACATTACTTGACTGGTATCAATAACGAAGTTTCACCCATTAGTGAAACATATTGTTTCGTAGCTTAATATAATCTGCTTTGCTGCGGATGATGGGGCATGTCCCCTGCTGTGTTTGGCGCGGCGCCGACCCGCTTTTTTCGGGAAGTGACAAGGCTGTATCATCAGTCGTTTTTTTCACCAGTTATTGTCACTTTCCCGCCTAATGACAGTTCCCGCGATCAAGTGGTCCGCGAAATGCTTCCGTGCATTTGGCATCGTTGTCTGCATTCACAGACACTTTTGTCGCTCGAAACGGCGAGATAAAGAAAAGAAGCTTGACTATTGCAACCATTGCAACCACGATTACTTTCACTCTGCAAGACAACGGCTTACAAGCGGAGCTGCGTGTGTACATAGCGTTGCCTGGAGCGTCGTAGGTGATTTCCTATGCTCTTGCCGGAATCGCTTGCACGTCGGATACTGCTGACCGGGCCTGTCGACGCAGGGCAAACTCGTTCAGGGAGGCGACCCCACTGCTAGGGAGCTCATTGTTCCGAGTGTTCCCAAGGTTTTTTTCGCTTTTCCTCTACTGGGGAGTTACTTATGGGCTAGTGGTTCATGAGTGATACCCACTACCCATAACAGTTGGTCGCGGGAATCATTTTCAAACACGTGAAATTGGTGGCATGCCAAGCGCAGCCGCGCGGACACGCCCCATCATCCGCAGCGAACTGGACTGTATATTTTGTGCTACATTTTGTAGCGTTCGCTTTTTATTCGCTTATGTTGTCATATTGGAAGTTGTTCATTGCTTTGCTTCTCTTTCGTTAGCGCTATAGTAGCAGTATATCTGCTTGCAAGTCGACGGCGACTGGCCAGCGTTTTTATAGTCTATGGGGCCAAATCGCTTCGGGGCTCTTGTGTTTGATAAGTCGATCTAACGCCGGGTTTTGCCACTTGAATTCTATGTCCGCCAGCTTCATATACTTGCCGGCTGCTTTGTTTGTGTTACGATTTGTGCCTTACGATTGTGTTATATTTGCCATCGTTGTGATGTAGCGTGCCTCTCGCCCGTGTCTTGCAGTTCGATTTCCTTCGAGCTCATCCTAACGACGTCTTTACCCCCGGCCCCATCTCCCTTCTCCCGTGCTCGTTCGCGTGCCCGCATCCTCCCATAATGGCATGGGCTCCCTGTTATGTAAACCAAAAAAATCTCTTGTGATGTCCTTTGCCATATGTGGAATCTCCTCTGTCGTTTCGCATGCATTTTCTCATTATCTAACCACGACAATAATAACAGGATTGCTCTACGGGTGCGCTGTTTATACATATATACATATATATTTTTATTATAATAGTTCCGTTTTTCATAGTTTTGTAATATGTTCGTGTGTTTTGACGCTTGAATACATATTTTTATGACAATAAAATAATTTTACATTGGCAAGAGTACATGGATCACAGTCATTTCAGAGAATTCGATCGTCAACAGAGAAAGTACCAGAGGGTGTCTCCAAAGCTGACGGGACAATTCTATTAAAAAAAGCGATTTTCTTGAATGGGGAATATGGTTGGGGAATTTTCTTGAAACCGGCTAGCGTTTGTGAGAAGCCGTCCCCCGGACGATTGTGGGAATTGTATAGCTATACAACTTATGCAGTAGTAAGGTGAAAAATAATCATTTGGGTGGAAAAAATAAAGTAACAGTGTACATAATGCTGCAGTGAACCCAGAGTCAGGCCTGTGCCACGGAATCCGCGACAGAGGGTCGTAAGTGGAGAGGTCAGCATCGGGCAACGTAACGGTAGCGTTTTGGGAGGGGGCTAAAAAATAAGAACTGGAAGGACATCGTGGACTATGGTTTGGGCTAAAAACACCCATCATGTACGCATTTGAATACCATTACGATTCTGAGCGCAAATCGGATGTCTGGCGTAGGAAATCGGCAATAATCATGTCGTTTCACTATGCGTTTATTGCCAAAAGAAGCTGTCGGAGCATTCTGAGATTTCTGAATGTACAGAATTGTTCGCTGCAACGGATGATGGGGCGTGTTGGAGAAAAGGCTGATTTTGGCGTGGCGCCAGCCACTTCCTAACCAACTGCTGAAGCGAATAAGCGACAACAATTGGTGTAAAACGGGCGGCACCGCGCCATACCTTGCCTCTCCCCTGATACACCTGCGCATCCGCAGTGAACAAGACTGTATGTGGGGTCGACCGCCACAAGGATATCTTATGACGACCTTTCATCTGTAACAACCTTACGAAGTTAATAACCTTTGCAAATTATTGTGTGAACGGGTTAGAGACTTGAGACTTTCGTTGCCTCTCCGCGGGTTGGCGCTCATCAATCTACGTCTGCTTGCCTTCAAAAATGCAAGAGAACGAAGAAAAAGTGTGGGAACATGCGAGATAGTTACATAGCGATACATCGTTAGGAGTTGTGATGACGAGATCATTTCACGCGACTAAATGTTGGCGCTCGAAGAGGTACTGCCGATAGTATATGGTCACGGACTAACAGGCATTTTCACAGGAGTCGACCGTCATGCTCTCCATCTCCCTGGACTGAAAGAGAACTAACCTATCTCTCTGAAGGTGGGACTCCTAATTTACCTTGAAGGGCTCGCTGCAGCAATGTGACTGCAGCTCGCTTTGATCACGTCAAAGGGTTAATTAGTCTCTTACAAATCTGAGGACACTTTGATGCTTGGCTAATCCCTATGCGACGGGTCAATGCTGAGCCTAGAGCCGTTACTCTGAAGTGTGCTGAATCACAGACAAATTTCTTGACTTGGATATCCCAACGATGTTGCAACAGGAAAAGCACTTTGTATGCACTAATTCTATCTACATATACTCCAGGCAAAGTGGAGGAAAAGTAGCCCACTATTGCTGTCATTGGGTTTTGTAGAGCGGCGGACGGGACCAGTGAAGGTGGTCCGGATTGAAAAAGCTTTTACCCAGGTCATCAGCCCTTACTTTCATGTTTCACCTTCCAAAACGCTCTCGTTTGGGACCCGATGCTTCGTTCTTGGGATCTGTGAAGAAAGTTAAACTCTGTAATCCAAAGGCCACCGGGGGAGAACAACGGAGGAGGGTAATACAAATAAAACATTGCAAACGTTATACTGTACAATAGAAGTTAGCATAAAACAACAAATAATAACCGATTCTGAAGACACATGAGAACAGCCACAGTCAGTCAAAATCGTCGCGTAGCCCGTGAGTCGGCTGAAAAACGAATGAAATTGTTGTATGAAATAAGAACTGTCACAGAGGTGGTGCCGAGGGAGGGGGGATGCCAAGGGCCCCCTCCCCCTCTGCTTCCTTCCCCTGCACGTGCTCAGCCCGACCTGAGCATGTGCAAGTGAAGGAAGCAGAGGGGAGGGGGTACGGTGAGGGGCCCCTCCCCTCTACTTTCTAGGGGGGGGCGTAGTGCACGCTTGGGTAGAATAATAGCAGGAGAGTAGGATACAACCGCTAACAAAACTGTGAGCTAATCCATAATAGAGTAGCAAACTAAGGTAAGATGTTGTTTTGACTTGATAATCCCCACCCTATCTAAGACAGTTATTTCGTACATTCCGGGCCATCGCACAAGCTGCTCGCGTGGCAGCTGGATGTGGGCTCGCCCGTGGGTTACGATTCGACCGTAACAGCGCAGTATGAGCAGCTAAGTGGATGAAAAAAATTGGTTGCCATTATGAAGTGCGCTCGCCAAGCCATCTAAAGAGAAGGAGGGGAGCTCGGCGTTAGCCGGGCGATCCGACTAAACATATAATATGAAATTGATGGCACTATCCACCTCTTATTGCCCCAGTCATTTGGAATCGAGCCAATTTTCAACCTACTTTTTCCCCTTTGAACAGATTTGGCTCAAATGTTGTATCTTGGGGTAGTCTGACCTCCTCAATACGAAGACCACATCGCTTTGCCCGGAACCTCGTGGCGCCTGCGCCATGCGCACCAGGCGATTTGGGTATTTCGGCGCCGGCGCCAGGGGGGTTTCGTG